GGGAGGCGATGAGCGCAGGGGTGTCCACAGCAGAACAGAGGTGTGCTTGACCTGAGAGGAGACTGACTAGGAGGCTGCAGAAAGCTGCAGCCTGGGGGCCTGGGCGTCAGTTTCCCGTGTGGCTGGAGGAGCGCAGAGGATGGGTCGGGGCACAGGGCGGCGCCGAGGGCACTGCCAAGGGGCCAGCTGCCCCGCATGCCTTCCCCCTGTCCTCACTTAAAATCAATGAATGGCCTTATTTGTGCGCCATTTCCCTGGTCCATCTTCTGGGCACAGGGCCCTGAACGTCCCGTCCAGTTCTTAAAGAGAACAAGTGCTCTTGTGCTGGGCAAGCTGTGCCCGGGGGAGGGGGTGGGGGTTCTGTAGCTGCACTCGCTGGGACTCACTCCCTGGGGGCAGTGCCCAACTCCAGCCCTCGGGAGCGCGGCCCTGAACAGCGCAGAACCCGGCGCCCTGCCTTTCTGAGCTCTCTCTTCCTCTTTGCAGATCCCGTTGGAAGTCAGGGCTGTGGTTGCCTGGCTGGGAGCGGGGCCTGAAGGGCACGAGGCGGGCTCTGGGGCGGACAATGTCCTGCCGTTGTGTCCGGATGCTGGGGACCCTCAGCCAGTGCCATACTTTCAAGCTGGGTGCTCTTCTCCCGGTCTTCAGGGAAGCTGGCAGAAGGAGACAAGAACCGGCCCAAGGCTGCCCACCTGCGACTGGGCTCACCAGGCACCGACCGAAAACGGCAAAGGCAGGGGTGGCCAAGTGCGCAGGTGGGGACATGAGGTTCGGCAGTGAGGGGCTGTTTTGGGTAGAGGTTACACTCCGAGGACTGGTTAGGAACCAGTCTTTGCCCCTAGAAAAACCCTAACTTGCCTTTCTGCTCAAGGGGGAACAGGTACATTTTCTTGCTAGTGGGGAGGGAGAGTACCAGTGGGGACGGGGGACAGGAACGCTGTGGCCATAGGCAGCCCACCTGGCCTGCCCTGAGACCCCCTGAGCTCCCTGCCTGGCCAGGTCCTGCTTTTCTCACGTGGCCCATGTCCCCTAGCATGGAGCTTTGCTGACACCCGCGAGTGAGTGGCCGGCAGCCAACATTTCTCTGAGCTACCCAGGAGGGGGAGGGCGCTGCTCCCGGAAGCAGAGACCTGAACTCAGGCGTGGTCTCCGTGGATCACAGAACGGCTCTGCGTCGGCTTCCTCTTCTGTAAGGAGCCACACCCGTTCCTGCTTGCCCTGCACAGCTGCTGCTGGGACAGAGTCAGGCGAGAAGATGGTGGGCAGCTGGGGCTGGGCCTGCAGGGCCCTGCGAGGAACACGGAGAGCACACGGATGGGGCCTGGATCTTCCGCGTGGAACACGACTGTGGAGAGGCTTGGTCACGCCCCGGGCCCAGCCCACGTGACTGTGATGTGAGAATGCCCAGCCCCAAGGGGTGCTTTTAGGCTGGGATCTACATTTTAACAAACCCGCTGATGGCAAATAGGCTGGATCCCAGGACCGGGTCCAGACAGCCCAGGGGGACTGCAGCAGCAGGCACTCCCACGGTGGCCCTGCAGGTGCAGGGAGCTCTGGCGGGTCCCCGGTGTTCCTGGGCAGGAGGGGTAAGGGAGGTACCACACAATGGGGAAGAACCAGAGGGAAAAGGGGCCGCATCTCCTGGGGTGCCAGTGAGAAGAACAGAAGTGAGAACCAGATCTGGATCCGTCTTGTCTGCTGGGTGTGGAACGCCCAGCTGGCCGGGCCTGTGTGCGCTGAAGTAGGGGTTCTCCACTCGCTAGGCCTCTCCTGCCCTTCTCGTCACCTATGTCCTGACACCACTAGGCTCCCAGGCCCGTGAGTGCCAGAGCAGTGACAGGGCTCTGTGGGCTGTGTGCAAGAGGCACTGGCGCACACTCAGTGGATGCACAGCTGGGTGCGGCACAGCCAAGGCCGGCAATGAGCAAACAGGGGGGCTGGCGGGGGTCCTTGGAAGGCCCAGTGCTCTCTGCCTGCAGCTTCTGCAGACTTGGATCTGAAAACCAGCCATGGCCACACGAGGCTTGGTGGGACCCTTGCTGGGGCTCACGTGCGTTCTGAGGGGAGTGGTGGGCCTTTCACACTCACAGAGGCTTCCTACCGGCAGGACACGGGCCCATCTGGGGTTTCATCCCCGCCGCAACACCAGCTGGGATCACCTGGGGATCGACAAGGATTCAGATGTGCGGCTGGGACCGGAAGGCACATGGGGGCACTGAGGCCGCATAGCCAGAGGTGGCAGAGCAGCGGTCAGCCTGCCCCTCCCCCCCCAGCCCCTGGTCCATCCAGAAAACGGGCTGTTTGCTCTCACCGGCCAGCATGGTCCCCTGCACACGGTAGCTGCCTAAGGAGAGCAGTTGGAAGAGAGGCTGGGAAGGCAGAAGCATCCAGAGAGGATGTGGGTGTTCAGGGCTCAGCCCCGCCCCCACCAGCTCAGCCTCAGGTTCCCCAGCCACACAACAGAGGAAGTGAGGGTGCCCAGGGCTTTTCAGCAGGGTGGCGCAAGGGGCCGGTGAGGGGTGAGACGCTCCAGCTGGGGAAGGCGCGTGTGCAAAGCAGCAGCGTCCACAGCTCCCGGGGACCGGCTGCAGGAGGCCCTCTGCTTCCTGCTGCCTTTTCTGGAGGCTGAAATCTTAGACTGATCCAGGAGCCAGACAGGCAGGCAGACAGGCGCATTCTTCTCGGGGGAGGCCTCCTCCCCCAGTCGCCAGGCCTGACCCCAGACTGGGTTTCAGGCAGTGGGGCTACGCAGGGCTCCCAGAGGGTGGGGAGTGGAGGTGAGGAGGGGGGATGGGGAGGTAAGGAAAGCCCCCGAGTCTGTAGGCTGTGGTTTGGAGTCCTGTGACTCTTCGTGCTCGAGCCAGGAAGCCGGAGGTGGTGGCAGAGGGCTGATTCAGAAAGCCCCAAGCCCCCTGGGCTGGTGGCCCAGCAGCGACCCTGGGGACTTCTGCCCTGTTCCTGGGCAAACCCCAGCCCGTTTCCCCAGCAGACGCCCCCAGCCCTGGCACCTGAGCTGACATAAGGCTGCTCTCAATTTTCACAAACCACCCAGGGTGACAACAGGCCGCTCTAGCAATCTGTGACCTCTAAGCAGGACCCAGGCGCGGGCTCCCTGCTGGCTGACAGGGCTACTGCCCGGGCAGCCTCTGCGGACTCGGCTCTTGGCGCCCTCCCAGGGGCGCAGGGCTGGGTACCGCCCTCCACAGGAAGGTGGGTGCAGTTTCCTCCCAAGGGCTCCATGTGCCCTGCAGCCTCCCAGCCTTGACCCAGTCCCTCACCAGCCCAAGTGTGGGCCGGGAGATGGGGGGGGCACCCTAGGCGCCAGTCTGGCGGCTGCGTCTCCTCTAAAAGCACTGGCTCTCGGGGAGGTGGAAGGGGTGGCCTGCTGGAATCCAGATCCTGAACCCTGGATGTGTCAGCTGTGAGAACTGCGCACTCCTAGTGTCTCTGCCAAGGGGAGAAAACAGCTCCACCTGGAAGCATTGCTGTGCACAGGAAACAAGACAAAGCTACGGCTGGCACAGCGCGGTGAGGGCTCAGCGCCAGCCGCTGAGCAGATCCCTTGTGGCTTGGGACAGGCAGCAGCTCTGCCATTGCCCTCTGGCTAGCTCTGGGGATGCCATAGGCGCCGGGCTTGTTAAAGGAACAACACTGTCCCCAGGTCACTGCTGGACTCCCCGTGACACACATGCTCATGCTGTGGGCTGAGAAAGGTGAAGATGCTCACCTAAGGGCCCTCGTCCCTGTCCACACTCCCTGGTGGCCGCTGGGCCAGAGGGCGCGACTCAGACCCTGAAGATGACACGTCCATGCTCGGCTGGTGGAGATGGGGGTGAAACGTCAGGGCGGTGGCAGTTTTGAGTGTCCATGGGGCTTCTAGGCAAGGCCACGGTAGCAGCCACTGAATGGGGTTGTGTCACAGATATGAACACGCTCACTTCTGGCGTCACTCATGCAGGGGGAAGTACTACTATGCCTATTTTACCTAAAATGTGCAGGCAGGTCCACCTCCAAGTGCAGAGGGCTGGAGGGCCGGTCTCTGCCCAACTAGGGAGAGGCAGTGCCTGGAGAGGAAGTGGATGCTGAAATGGAATGCTGGGGGTAGGCTCCCTCCGCAAAGTCTGGAAGAGTCAGGGATTGTTGGGCTCTAACACCTTAGTTCTGTGTGCGCAAGTCTTTGGGATCTTTGTACACCCTAGGGGAACCTTCTCCATCCAATCTGCAAGTCCTTGCTAAGCGCGTAGGACTGGCTTCCAGCAGGTCCATGCTGAGGTGCAGAGGGTTAAGCCACTGCTGGGACACTCCTCTATCCAAGTACTGGTTTGAGTCCTGGCTGCTCCACATCTGATCCAGTTCCCTGCTATGCACCTGGGAAAGCAGCAGATGATGGCTGTAGTCCACCCATGTGGGAGACTCGGATGGAGTTCTAGGCTCCTAGTTTCAGCCTGACCCAGCCCCAGCATTGCAGGTATTTGTGAAGTAAACCAGTGGGTGCAAGCTCTTTCTCTCTGTTACTCTACCTTTCAGATAAATCATATTATGCACTTTTATTAAAAAAAAAAAAACAAAAACTAGATTTCAAGGGACAAAAATCCAACTCAAACTAGCTTAAGCAGACTAGGGCACAGTGACACCCGAGGAAGGGCTTTGCTGACCACTGGAACGGGGCACTCATTTCGTCAGGGAACTCTGCTTCCTCCTCCTGCAGGCCGGCTTCCCTCGCAGCAGACACGGCCTCACGCAGACCTGGGCGCGCCCCACCCAGCTTCCACCATGGGAGTTCAAGGTCTTAGGGTACGATTCCCGCAATGGAGCTTCCTGATCAGGAAGTCAGACGACCTGACAGCCTGTGTCAGGTGGGCATCCCCAGATCCGTCTGCCCAAGATGGTGTGGCCTGGATGGAGCCAGGCAGACAGCCCACAGCACCCCACGGCCTCCCGCAGCTGGCCTCGGCAGGCCCCACTGCCCGTGTCGCGGTCAAGAAGGCGCCGTCCTCCAGTTCACTTGAGCACACATTTATTGGGCACCTACCGAGTGCAAGGCGCTGTGCTGGGCGCCGTGGCAGCTACAGAGTGAACACAGACGGTCCCTGCCCACGAGGAGCTCACAGTCTAGGATAAGACACAGTACACGAGCAGCTGCAGCCACACCGCCAGGCTGGCAAGTGCCAAAAGCAACACACAAAGTGCTGTGGGGCCACAGAACACCACGGGGCTGCTTCTGGTCAGAGCGCTGGGTGAGGGCATGGAGGGGACCTGGGGCTGGCCCCTGAAGGGGGAACTATCTGCAAGGGACGCCCACGCAAGCGGGTAATGGGACAAGGTGTGGCTGTGGTGTGGGAGCACTTACGCAGGCAGGCAGGTGTGCTGGGAAGTGGACCTTCCTGCACACTAAAACTTGGGCACCTGGATTTGATGCTCCAGTCAAGGCCACTGAAGGTCACAGAGTGCGTGTGTCTGGAAGGGAGAGCGGGGAGCAGAGAGGTGGCCTGGCTGGTCAGGCCCACTGCCCCTGGCAAAGCCAGGAGACTAGGGGACAAGGCAGATGCAGGGGCCACGGGGAGGGCAGGTGGGGCAGGAGGGAGGGGCGACAGAGGGGGAAGAGTGGGGACCCCTAAAGGTAAGCACAGACTTTCTCAAAATGTGGACTCTGGGGTCGCTGGAGCCAGGCAGACAGTGGACTGATGCTGCAGAGCCCCAGGCCTCAACCACAGCTATGAACCCGCGTCTCCCGGGCCATTTTCAACAGGAGCTGCCCTCTCTACCAGCAGATCTACAGGTGGCCCCCAGCCTGAAAACCTCCTGTTAAGAACAAGAAGGTTGTTAAGGGCTTGGGCTTGTGGGGACTCTAAGGCATCAGGCGCCGGGCTTGCTGGGTGTGCACGCCAAAGGCCTCTGGAGTCCCTGGCGACGCTTCTGAGACCACTGCCCCGTGGCAGGGCGGGAGGATCCCACGGGAAGTGAAGGGCGGGAAGTTGGGGTAAGTATGTCCAATGAACAAACGCAATTCTCAGAGGAAATCAGGTGACTTTATTGTAATGTGAGCTCCGTGGGGAGACATGTGGAGGGAGGACTTGAGGACAGGTGGGGACAGGAAGTGTTGGTGAGACAGCAGTGGGAAGCACGCTGCTCCTGATGCGCCAGGGCCGGGCAGGGGAGGGGAGGCAGCTGGAGCCGAGGTACAGAGCCTGGGCTTCGGTGAGGCCATGGGACCTCCTCTGCACTCGGCAGGTGCGGCCCATGGGAGCCTGCTCTTACGAGGCCTGCGTCCTGGCGCCACGGCTGCCCCGCGAGATGGCTGAGATGCCCTAACTGTCCTCACGGGCAGCCCACAGGAGCTCAGATGCAGGCCACTGGATGGCAGCACCAGGCGGGTCTCTTCCCACCCAGGGCCCCTTCAGCTCCACCAGGACCTTCCAACTGCCAGATGTGTCTGCCTGTGCTAGCGTGGGGAAAGTGGGAATGGCTGCCAGACGGGGAGGTTCCGGCCAACACGCCCAGGCGGCAGCAGGGCCACTACGGCAGAGGCAGACCACCTAGGAACACCTGGCTAGCAGCACAGAGCTGAGTGTCAGGAGGACGCTGAGAACAAGCCATTTGCTTTCCTTAATGGTCTCAGAAGTGGGATTTTAAATACTAAATTCAAATGCCCCAGATTTCAGGACCGTCCATTACCTTTCATGTAAGGGTAAGTGATCTTCTTGCCTTGCCATAGCTGAGAAAGGCTAAGTGGGCAGCTAGGTCTCTCAGAGGATCTTGAAAACATTCAAAGGTCAAAGGTCAAGTGACTTCCAGAGCCTAGGAAACGTCCACCCCTCAGCCTGGCTGCTGGGGTCAGGCTCCCAGCTGTCTCCTCTCAGGAGGCAAACAGTGCATGGCCGAACGCTGAGCCACGAGGTCAAGGTCACTCACGAACCTGCTCCTCGCCTCTGCTGTGCTTCTGAAAGCTGAGCGACGGGGGCAGGGGCTGCAATCCCCATTCCTGGCTGCCTCAGTCTTCCACTCCACGTGCACCGCCACTGACTGGGCAACGGGCCCCAAAGCCACCGCTGACAACCTAATCAAGGCACCCGACAACAGGCGACCGGAGTCCAAGCTGCCCAAGCTGGATGGCTCTGGAACCACCTCCTGAGGGGTGCTGGGACCAAACGAAAGCCAGGGGAAACTGCTGGTGAGAGCCTCGTGATGCCACCAGGCCCCTCAACGTGAAGAGCAGACCAGCAGGCGGCCTCGGCCGCCACCAATGCGGCCAGGACAACGACACGTACCACAGCACAGACATGACACTGACCGTGAGCAGCGCTAGGCGCACGGGTATAAGGTACTAAGCCCTTTAAGTCCGGAGAAGGGTGAAAATGCTGAGTCACCCAGGAAAAGAACTTCACTGACACAGAGATTAGAAACACTGAGGAAGGAGAATTCCAAGGATGCCAATTCTGAGACTCACAGGAAGAGCTGTCCAGGAAACACTGAAGAGACAGACACAGGAAAAACAAACAGAGGGGCTCCGGGACCCCCAGAAGCTACTAATGCTATGTACTGGCTTGGGTCACTTCAAGAGTGGGAAAGTGGTTTTTGGCAAAGCTGTACAAACCACACATGGAGGTGCAGCCCAGGGCTGTGGACATGAGATGTCCCTGAGCCTCCTCACGCCCGCTGCGGCCTCCAGAGGCAGAGATGTGATCCGGGCCGGAGTCTGGTCCCTGCGCAGCCACTCACGGCACTCTGGACCACACTTCCCTCTTCTGTGGGGCAGCAGGAGCCCTAAGACTTCTCCCAGCCCCATATTCTCTGAGTCTAACTTGGCCCTGGGCGTGAACAAGGCTAGGCACAAAGTGCCATCTAGTGGCACCACCTGTCCACTCCCATGAGCGACTGTGACCCAGGACCCCACAGGAGCAACCAAGTGTAACTCCGGGGGAAGGGCAGAGGCGGGGAGGGACAGCACACTTCCCAGTGCTGGACGGGACAGAGTCATCTCAAGAAAATAGACTTTAAGAGTCCTGCTTTCCTGAGGAAAGCAGCTCTTTTTTTTTTTTATTAGAAAGACTAACCATATCCATTTATCAATATTTTCAGCTTTAAGGAAAATAGTTTAAAAAACATAAAAATGTAAATACACTCCAGAGTAACTGCTATTAAACAGTTCTGAACAGGCAGAAAATGTAGACTTTCCTTTTACAGAAAAGGTTAAATCTGTAATAGCAGCATAATTTATATATAGAAAAAAGCTGGTTTTGAAAACCCAGATTTTTTACACACACAACCTCTTCCATGCCCTGTACAGCACAGGTGCGTGTGCACGGGGACACCGGGTCCTTCACATTACGGTACTTGCCGCCAGGCCAGGCTCCGTGCTGCCGCCACCTTCAGTCCAACACCATGGCAGACAGGGCGTTGAGGTCTTTCATGTACGGATGCGCCACCAGGATCTGGTCGATTTTCAGTCTTTGCTCGGAGTCGGGGAAGATCTTGAGGAGGGCTTCCCTCAGCTCGCTGGTCTCTGCAGAAGACCTCTGTGCTGGCATGGACAGGTTCTGCGGGATGCTGGGGAGGGGCGCCAGGAGCGGGAAGCGGGGCTGCGGAGGAAGCCAGTGGCTGGGAGGGGCTCCCTGAATCCGGGCCGCAGGCTGGTGGCTGGTGCTGGCCGCCTGGGTGCCAGGGACTCTGAAGCTGGGGTCAAACATGCCCACGGTCGGCAGGGCATTGAGGAGGGGCTGCATGTCTCTGGGAATGGAAGAGAGCCTGGTGAGCTGGGTTAGAAGAGGAACAGCAGACCCTTCTAGAACTCTGCTGCTGACCTGGAGGCTCAACACGCCGTTTCCTGGCTTCCAAAAGACAGATGCGAGATTGTCACAGAGGCGGTGCTGGAGGGGCCCGCAGGGATTCTGCCGACACCACCTCCAGACGGCTCAGAACACAGATGCGCTCTCCCTGCGACTGAGCCCTCCCAGCCACGGGGCTCTCACCCAGGGCACGCCTGGGAGCTTGAAGATAGCCGCAGCCCAGGGTCCTGGCTGACAGGCAGCACTCCGGGCCCAGAGGCAGTGTCCACCGGGCGGAGACTCCCCTCCCGAAGTCCGGGGGAGGAGCCTCCCACCTGACCTGGCTTCCAGCTGAGAAATTGGTGGGCTACACGATTTTCCCAACTTTAAAAGGTGGTCCCTCTGTGAGATGTGATGACTAACAACTTTGTTGTTAAGATTTATTTGAAAGTCAAGAGTTAACAGAGAGGTGAGACAGAGAGGGAGAGAGATAGAGAAAATCTTCTACCCACTGGTTCACTCCCCAAATAGCCATGATGGTCAGGGCTGGGCCAGGCCGAAACCAGGTGCAAGGAGCTTCTTCCAGGTCTCCCACATGGAGAGGCCCAAGCACTTGGCTTACCCTCCACTGCTTTCTCAGGTGCATCAGCAGAGAGCTGGATTGAAGCTGAGCAGCCAGGACACACAGGGAATGGCAGCACCGCAGACAATGGCTTAACCCGCTGTCTTAACTAATTAGTTAACACCCTTGTCAACAGCCAGCGGGCAACAGGAAAAGAAGCAGCAGCCCGGTCCTCACTGCGAGGCGGCTCAGGGAGTGGGAAACCGACGACTCTCTCCCGCTCAACTTGACCATGGGTCTCGGGCCCTAACGCTTGGGAGAGGCTCTCCCAGTGAAGACATATGGAAGAAAAGGATGCAGACCCACACAAATCCTGCGCTGGGAACGGCTGCCACCGGGCTGGTGTGAGAAGCCTGAGGCTGCGGACTCAAAGGCTCCAAAGAGGAATAATTCACAAACCCAGGAGCTGAACTGAGATAACTTCTGCAGAAGGTGCCTCTGTGAGTATGTTGGGGGAAACCCACCAGAAACCTGAATCCAGACCTAGAGCCCTGGGAGGTTCCTGTTACAGTGTACCCTAAGTGACACCCGCCAGTAACTGACCACCAGCTTGGGAAATCTGCTTTGTCTCTTTAAATGCAGCTCTGCATCCTTTTCCAGAATTAAAACCCAAAAAACTCAGGTACTGTGGTGCTGCCTGGGAGGCCCACATCCCACGTGGGAGCGCTGGTTGGAGTCCTGCCTACTCTGCTTTTGATCCAACTTCCTGCTAACATGACCGGGGAGGCAGCAGATGGCGGCTCAAGTGCTGTGGGCTCCTGCTACTCATGTGGGAGACCTGGACAGAGTTCCAGGTTCTGGCTCTGGCCTGGTCCAGTCCTGGTTGCTGCAGTCATCTGGGAGAAATGAACCAGAGGATGGAAGCTAGCTCTATCTATCTGTTACTCTCTGACACTCGCCTTTCAAGTAGATGAAAAGAAATAGAAAAACCAAAGAACCACAATTGACAATTTGGTCTTTGGGGGGGGTACTTTCTTGATTTGCTCCCACATACATGATACTAGCACTACATCGAAAGTTTTAAAAAAACTAAAATGTCATTTTTACACACTTGTACTAAAGCATAAAGCACTCAGTTGAAATAAACCTTTAACTAGAAGACAACCTGAAAGAGGAAATACCTATGACAGACTTCCTTCCGAAGAAACTCTTCTAGGCGAGGTCCGCTTCTTCCCAGAGGATCATCAGGAACCATAAATATGTCCCCCACGAAAGTGTACTGCAGCAATCTGCAATACACAGAACGATTACAGCACTGCAGGGCTGCGAGGCCTCAAACTGCAGGCAGCCTACGCATTCTGACTGCTTAATTGCCTAAAAGGGGGAGAAAAGAACCACACCCAAGTTAAACCATTTTAATTTCTGTTTTGGACACAAACACGGTATCAGCTGACCCTCGGATTTTTCTTTAAGACTTCTAGATTTTTCTCTGGGTAACAGAACTTTCAACATAACCTTGGGAAGCAAGGTGAGAAGACTTTCTGCCTAGGACACAACAGGCATTCCACAAAAATGTTACTTTTCAATGAAATGGGTAGTGAATGTGTCCATGGGTGAACCAACCAAAAATAAGCTTTTAAAAAAAGGAAAACAATATTATGTATGAAGAAAGAAAATTCAAGGTCAGTAGAGAACTATTATCAAGCTGGAAGAAACAAGGAAGCAAAATTAAAACAGCTCAAGGGCCTATGTTTGCTGTTTAGATCTTGGTTTCTGCCACGCTTTTGTGAATTCTGAATGCAACGGGTCAGCTTGAGTTGAGTGCATTTACAGCCTCCCAACACAGAGTGAAATGTGTACTAAGTAGTGATAGTGAGCCCGGGGGAAGATCAGCAGTGACAGGTCCTACAACATCAATGGCTCATCATCGTGCTCAGGAGATCACAGGCCAACTCTGTTCAGTTACCAACAGCAGCTTTTTAACAGCACTAGGGTCAAAATGCATAGGGTGATGAACTCTCACCTGGGCATTTACAGAAAAGATTCTGTTATTAAAAGCCTCTGATCATTCAGTGAAAATTTCAGACAAGAGGCAACTGTGAAAAGTCACAGGATCATTGCAAATGAACTTACAGCCGCGAATGCTCCACTAGTAACTGTCATTTCAGATGACATCTAGTATAGTTTCAATATGGAGGATTAAAAAGCTTAAGGAAAGCATCAGATGCTGACGAGCAGAAGCACTCTCCCCGAGCTCTGGTGTGGCACTCAGCCTCTCGCTGAAGCGGCCAGCGCGGGGATCCCGCCCGTGTTCCTCCACAGCTACCTGTGTCACCGTCTCACACACAGAAGGCTCAGAAACGTCACCCACAGGCTCTGCCGCCTTGGGCTGGGTCCTCCTCCTCACCTGGCAGGACCAGCCACCCTGTGGACTGGATTTCAGCTTTAGTCTTACGATACTCTGGTCTCCTGTGTTGCTTCTGCATCCAAGGTGCACAGCAAACAAGAAAAATGCAAACAAAAACAAACAATAACAAACTTTTCCAACCTAAGACAAAGAAGAAAATGTTACCTTTTCGTAATAATTTCTCGCCAAGAGACTGACTCAGTCACAAATTCTCTGAAGTTATCATTTGTTACAATTATGCCACCAGTTTTGTCCGCTAAGTGTAGTAGAAACCTATGATAATATAAGAGTTTAAAATGAGCAAACAGGCATCCCTGGGATAGAGAAGCCATGTCGAAAGCAAACAACAGGATTTCTTCACAGGACAATCATCGACTGCAGAGAAGTGAAGCCCATTACTTGAAGATCAATGGAAAATGGTGAGTACCTCCGAAATTATTGTGATCATAAAGAAGCAACTATGAGTGTATAATCAAATCTGTTTTTTAAAAAGGTGTCAACTATAGTTTATACATTTTCCTAGAAAAGTTGTATTAAATAGTGGTAATAAGAATTCATGATGGCCAGAGCAGAGACTAAATTAGAACAAAGCTGTGAAATCACCAGCTTTTTTGTTGCTAAGCTACTGTATTCTGGTTCTAAGATTAGCTGCTTGGTGTAGTCAGACTTGCAATTCTATTTTTTTAAATCATGGGTTCATATTTTCTGCTCTGATTTAAAAAGAAATGTCTAGAACTACTGTTCTGTTTAGCCTAAGTTATAAATTCACTCAAATGGAAGTTATTAAAGAATACACAGTGATGAAAAATGGTAAGACTGAAACAATAAACAAGAATTCTATTTCATTTTTGGGTCTTATTCCTGCTCAAATCCTCTTGATAGATTTATGTGGACAATATGAATTCTATTCCTGAGGTCAGAATGACCTCATTTGTCTTAGGTAACATAGACAAAGATGATGAGACAACAAATTAACAGACAGGGATCAAACCTTGTTAGTTTCAGCAATTTAGGAAACTTTGGAAAGAAACCACGATTGGGTTCTATATGGCATTAAAAAACAAGCACTTTACAAAAAAAAAAAAATCACTTCTAGTCAGCATGGGTTGTAAATGCTGATGCATGCCCAGAGGTATTCTTGAAAAGGCTTTTGAGTTCAGGCACTATGAGCTAAGATGTACATTCTTGTCTTCTAAAGTCTCAAGAGCCACTTATGTCACATGGCAGCTTGGTCTACATACCTGTCCTTGGGCCCCGACTCGGCAGGGGTGTGGGCACCTGCAGGATTTCCCCAGGTCCAGAAGCCAGTCTGACCTTTGACCTGAGCACTCCAACGTCCCCTGCCCCATGCCCCCAAAGCTGAGCAAGAAGTGCCTTTCTACACATTAGCCTCCAGGACTTCACACCAAGTCCTCTTCCAGCTCTTCCCACAATGCTTCAGGTCACCTCGGATCTTCTCCCCACCCAGCCTGGTATCTCAGTTCAGCTGGGTGCAGGCAAGGCTGTCCAGGAGAACGCCGCTGGTGAATGAAGGGCCATTGTGGTTCCAAGGCCTCCTCCCCGGCAGGGCTCTCTTTTTAGCTCTCACTCATTCAAGCCCCCACTAGCTTGCTCACACGCTACACACCGTCTTTAATGGGGGAGTGATTTGGTGAACAACAGGCAAAACTCCCAGGGGGGCTGTGACAAAGACCAACAGGTTAAATGCAGGACAGGAACAAGCAGCCACCACTTGCGTGCCAGACTGGAGACTGGCTATTGCTAGTCCTACACGAGAGGGATATTGTGAGAAGTGGTACTACTGTCACTGGTTAAGTCTGGAACTCTCTTGGGTTCCAGCAAACTGCCCCCTACTACTTATTTGGGTGCCTTCTCCTCCAGACGCCAAGCTCCTGAAGGCAGGAGGTGCAGTTGATGCGTGAACCCAGGAAAGCAACTTCTGACAGACTTGGTAGGTACTCAGTAAAGTTTCTAGAAAGAATTCAAAAGGTGTCCCAGATGCACCCAACCTAAGGATGCACCTTACTCCTATCACACTGGGTCTATTATGGGGAAGAAAGTCCAAGATGCTGGCGGTCAAAAGCAGAACAGAAGCAGACAGATGATACTGGCAAACCACTCTCAAGGCTGCCACACTATGACGAGACAAACATTACTTCTTGCCTCCAGCAAGACTACTACTGAGTGCCTGCTTTTACTTAACTTCTCAGTCATGTTTTAAGAAACAAAACAAAAACTCTAACAGCTTCTTTTGTCATGTTCATAAACCCACACAGTAAAGACTGTTGATGACCATACACATAAAAGCTCTCAAAGCCCTCAGTCAGGTAAGGCCTTCAATAGCGTGCACCTGGCCAGTGGAGCAGGTGGCAGGCTGTGCACCACCCCACCCCACCTTGGAAAGGAAAAGTAGTCTTTCATACCTGTCATCATGAGAAGCAATTCTTTCTCCAAAGACCATCCGAGCAGGAGTTAAAGATAATATTCCAAGCTCCTGGAGCTGGGTTAAGAAGTGCTGTTCTGTTCATGGAATAAGTTGAATATACATTCAGAAAAAGGCTGTCTTCCCAGATGTATAACAATAAGTCAAAGAACACCCAGGTGTTTCTCTTGAAGAGTGGCAGAAAACCTTTTTTTCTAGTAACTAAATTTTACTAACTCATGGGGAAGAAAAAATAAAATCAAGCAAGACCCATTTTAAGGTAATTGCAAGGTAGGAACTGACTTTAGCTAGTTTTCTTAAATTGTAAAGAGTAACCCATAAACCTGTAAGTAACGAGCCCTTTAAGAAACTTTACAGAGGCCAAAGAGAGTGACGATTGCTCACCCTGTGGATGGGGCGGGAGCAGGGACGAGTGGGAGAACAGTGCTGCCCCAATCCCTGGTCAGAGCTGTCAAAATCTCCCTCTAGGGGCCTCCGAGCCAACTTGTTAGCTGTCTGTGCAAACATTTACGGGTTTTCACGGCAGTAGGTGGAGGCAGAGGGCAATGGAGGGGCAAAGCCACATTCTGGAAAATCAGTAGTGAGCCAAAGAGGCTGAAAGCCCAGGGCCTGAGACTCCCTAACTTGCATTCCTACAATGGCACTCTTCACTGACTTAAGCTGGCTTAAGTGTTTGACTGTCCTAGACCAGCACAGTATGTAAGCACTCTTAGACTCTTTCAGGAATCCAGAGGCAAAACTAACTACAAAATGAGTGAGATCTGCCCCACTTCTCATGTACCTTCAGTTAGTACAAGTATGCTCTTCAAAAATGAGGGAAGCTGGGAATGCTTGGGAAATGTGTGGTTTTACCATTTCCACTGGTAATTGCATTTCATTTCCTCTTTAGTGTGTTGGGCAAGCTCCTCTGCATACACCCTCTGTCCACCTTTTACTTCGAAGGACCTGGCCGAGCCATTCTGTCCTGTGTATTCTCATGACCGAGAGCACTTTGGGGCTCTCAGCAAGCACAGACCTTCCAGGCCGGACCACATGGTGAACAGATTGTCAGAAAGACACATTTGAAAATACCCAATGTATCAAGTGACTGTTTTTAAAACCACTATCTTAAATAGTCAGAAACAAACCCAGCCTAACAGAGGAGGTATTTTACTTCTTAGAAAGTCAGAGGAAAGTTTTTGTGGTGCATAATGAACTCTAACATAACTTTCTCTATAAACAACTAGGCTAACTTTCCATCCTTCCCCCAGGTATTTCCTGCACTTTAACACTCTTCATTTGGTGTTTTACCAGGTGCAGCAGATTTATAATTTTGTTTTTGAAGCTGCTACCCGTGGTATGTGGTTCTGTTCCAGGCAGCATGTGGTGCAACCACAGAACCGTAGCCAATTCATGAACCACCATCAGAAATCTGGAAAAATCAGTTCACCTCACCTGTGACATTAGGATCACGCCTTGTTCTCCACTGAGGGACAAACACAGTGATGTTTCTGTTGCCAAGCTTCCAAAAATATTCAACTGCAATTGCAATCCCACGACAAGAAAAGAACTTTTTCAAACCATGGCTGTAAGAAAATATGTAAGATTCATTTTAATTTAAAGCACACTCAGTTTCAGCATGAAAAGGTAAGATGTGCACAGAGAACAATCAGAGAATTCCCTTTAACACTCTTGCACAGTCTCTGCCTTCAGCTGCAGTTTCCTGCTTTTCAAAGCCAAGACAGAGCCCGCCAGAGCAGATGGAACTCAGTAGAGTATCAAGATTTTTCTCATATTTTCCTTAGGTGATTTAATTGTCTACTGAGTAGAGGGTAGTGAGCTTCATGAGACTACCTGTTTATTACATTTGGAAAAAATAGCCCATAATTCATGGGGGAAAATACTACTATTTAAAGTTCTTCCTGATCGCTGGTCTGTAAATCACAAGGCATTTGCTATTGAAGCAAAAACAGAATTGATGATACCAGGCCCTGTGCCTGACTGTGACGGGGGAAAGGGGGGGAAATACAGTACAGACATCACTGCAACACCATGGCTGCTGCCGGCTCCGGCTCCGGCTCCAGGAGGGCTCAGTGCGCAGCTTACAGGAACAAGCTAAGGCCAAGACACAGAAGCAGCAACCTGGAGACTGTGGAAAGTGATTTTATTGCAGAAAACAGAAACAAGTACAGAACAGACATCAGCACACTTTTTCATGACAGAGATCATACCACTCAACTGCCACGGTGCTGGGGGCAGCCTGGACAACTGAGTGTGGCTGTGCCACATTTGCACACAGACAAGGAACAACAGAAGAGTGGATGCCTAATGCTCCCTTGCCCTCTCAAACAGCCTGGTGACACATTTCAAAAGAAAAGGAAACACTTAAAATTCCATTTTCTGTTTTTTTTTTTTGAGTATATTTTTAAAGTTTGAAATTAAACAGGTAGTAATCCATTTGTCCATCTGTAGGTACCAGGAAATAACAAAGCATAGAAACCTCAAACTGTGATGCTACAATTTATAAAGTCGGCACAATCTATTTTCACTGATCCAATGATCACCTACAATCCAGTGACAGTACATTCTGCATGCTCACTCCTGCGACTTCTCCATGACTACTCACCAAACCAGCTTCACAGTTACTTACATCATGTGAAAGTTCTGCTAGCTAAGACACAATGTTCCCAAGTCAAACTCAGGCTCTCTTAATTATCCAGCCCCCGGCCCCACCCACCTCCACCCCACAACTCCAGTTAGACTGATCCAAGCAGTCACCAGGCCTCTGCTTCTGCTCAGCCTCTCACGGCACTATCCTACACGGGCCTCTGCCTGGCTCCAGGGCCCCTCCTCACCTAACCAATCAAAAGAGACCTGGCCAAAGAGAACCACTCTCCACCACAGGTCCACACACTTGGGCCATCATCTGCTGCCTCTCAAGCTGCGTGCGCAGGGAGCTGGGTGGGAAGCACAGCAGCCAGGACTTGAACCCGGGCCTGGATACGAGAGGCTGGCACTCCAAGTGCCAGCCTGACCCTCTGCACAACGCTGTCTCCAAGAACAAAAGAGCTGTTTCTAGAAACCTCAATACCACACTAAACTCCAAAGTGGTGTTCTCAATGCTATCTACCACTTTTGATACTTTGCAAAATCTCCAGAGCTGAACAACTCTGATTCAAAATTCTGGTAAATATATTTAGGGGCCGGTGCCATGGCTCACTTGGTTAATCCTCCACCTGCGGTGCCAGCATCCCATATGGGCGCTGGGTTCTAGTCCCGGTTGCTCCTCTTCCAGTCCAGCTCTCTGCTGTGGCCCGGAAGGGCAGTGGAGTATGGCCCAAGTGCTTGGGCCCTGCACCCACATGGGAGACCAGGAGGAAGCACCTGGCTCCTGGCTTCAGCGCAGTGCTGGCCATGGTGGCCATTTCAGGGTTGACCCAATGGAAGGAAGACCTTTCTCTCTCTCTCTCACTGTCTAAAAAACTCTACCTGTCAAAAAAAAAAAAAAAATATATATATATATATTTAACCAGAAAATAAAACTACAGGAAAAAAAAATCAAGTGGAATCAAAACTACTGTCCCCCAAAATAGTAACAGAGGGACCCCTAAGGACTCTTTCTATTCATGTCCAATCATCTGAGAAGCAGAAGGTGCTTCATCAACAGGGTCATCAGCCCAGAGCGGCAGTGGACAAAGACCAAAAGACCAAGTCTGTACACAAAGGTACACAGTACAGTTACACCTGGCTACTTTGGGAAAGGACAAACCTGGGGCAGGAAGGGGCTCTTGGTTCCAAATGCAGAATGAACAGCTATTTGGCCCAAGAGACCAGGTGTGTATAGGTTCTCAAGGGAAACTGGAACTGTTTCCTTAGAACTGGTAACAAGTTACGTCATCTGGTTTGTTTTCTATATCACAGGAAACAGTCAACCAAAACGACTGTCCAAAGCAGAGAAGAGCTAGGTGAGAGATTGCACACAGGTTTGTGGCACAGTGGGTTAGATCACCGTTTGGGACACCAGTATCCCATACTGGAGTGCCCAGGATAGAATCTCATCCTGGCTTCTAATACGACTTCCTGCTAATGTGCCTGAGAAGGCTGTAGATGATGGCTTAAGTACTTGGGCTCCTGCTACCCATGTGGGAGACCTAAAGGGAGTTCCTGGCTCCTGGCTCCTGGCTCTGGCCTGGCTCAACCCAGGCTGTTGGTGAGTATCTGGGGAGTGAACCAGCAGATGGACAATCTCTCTCTCTTTGCCTTTCAAATAAATTTAAAAAATAAAGCTTAAAAAAATGACAGTCACAATATCAGACAAGGCTGTGTTGGAAGACAGTAGAAAGCCTTTCTGAGTTGCCCAGAAAAATGATTCCCCTCTACAGCTTCCACTTAACGAAGAGAACCACTGAACCCTGATATAGAAAGACCAGCATGAAAAAGTACTTAAAATGTACAGTTCTAGCAAGCAAAGGGGCAAATCTCATCTATATGGAAAATTATCAACCCAGATAAGTCAGGTGCTCTTGTGCCAAAATTTTAGGCTGACAGAGCCCAAATGCTACTGTGGTGTCTAGCCATTCACCGCAATTTCCACTTACTCATTACTTGACTCATTCATCGCGACAGGGGAAAAAACAGTGTAAAAATACACATAACCAGCAGCACGGAGCAGGGTATTTTGGCATTTCTCACGCGTGTGCAGAAGTTGCAGACATCACGCTGCATAGGCAAAACAGCGGCTCTGCAGGAACCCAGGAAAGGGTGGGCCTGGACTGCTTTGGGGTGGGGCTCACACCAACAGATCCTATTGCTTAAGAACTCCAATGTCCTTTCAGTTACTTCCCCAACTAGTGAGGTTTACTCCGCACTGATGGGCAACCAAAGTTGAAGTATGAAGTTCTCAACTTGTGTGGGGGCTGGATGGTGTTCTGGAGAGACAAAATGGGCCCAAATCTCTTCTCTGTGTAACCTTGGACAAGCCTTTCAAGCCACCTCATGTTACGTAAATTACAGATATTTACTGCCTCACAAAATTGGTGCTTGCTTTTATTTTAAAAGATGAAGTGGAGGAGCAGTCATTTGCCACAGCATGCCTCCTGCATTGCTCAGAGCCCTGTTGTAGAGACTGGATTTGAGTCTCACCTCCACTTCCAATTGTAACTTCCTGCTAAGGTGCACCCTGGAAGAAGTGGTGATGACTCAGGGACTCAGGTCCCTGCCATCCACATGGGAGACCTACACTGAATTCCTGACTCTACCTCAGCCTGGCCCAGCCCCAGCCCCAGCTGTTGTGGGCACCTGTGGAGAGAAGAAGGCTATGTGAGATCTGTGCCTCTGGTTCTCTTTCCAATAAAAATAAACTAAAATTTTCTAAAAAATAAAAATATATAAAAGTAATAAACTACAATGCCTAACACATAAAACATGTTTCAGTCTTAAGATTCCAAATATTTGGTATTAAATAAATGGCATCCATTAACATCTAATCTAAGTTCACAATGGGTGGTGAAAAGTCACTGAAGCTTTCCTAATCTGTAACTCTTTCATTCATTCATCAACAAGTTTTTATTGAGTGCCTACTATGTTTTGGGACCATGGATGTTCCAGGTAGTTCTGTGAACAGAACAGATACAAACTGTCCTTCAGGCATTATAGCTAATGTAACACACACTTAACATTGAAGCAACGGATTTAGAGTAAGGGTTTATTTTTTTCAAACCTTTAAAAAAAGTTTATCAAAGTAGAATTCACATGATATAAAATAAATAATATATATCAAATATATAATTATTATATAAATTATATAATAATATATAATCTATATTAATGTATATAATAATATATAATAAAACTGTTTAAAGTAACCAATGGACTTGGTACACTCATGACGCTGTGTAACCACCACTTACACCTAGTTCCAAACATTCCCATCATTCTAAAATTATACTCCACAGCCATTAATCAGTTTTGCCCCTAGAAAAAGGGTTAATTTTAATTATTGACATTTTAGATCAATCTATGTCAATTAAGGATGTCTGTCTTCTTACAGCATCACATCCTTTTTTAAAATTGAGACACCTGTGAATTCAAAGAAAACTCAAATCCTCCCCAAATAACCAGCTTTCAAAAAAAGGCTGTAGGTTGGGGCTGACATTATCGCAGTACATTAATCCTCCGCCTGCGGTGCCAGCATCCCATATGGGCGCCAGTACAAGTCCCGGCTGCTCTACTTCTGATCCAGCTCTCTGCTAAGGCCTGGGAAAGCAGTAGAAGATGGGCCAAGTCCTTGGGCCCCTGCATTCATGTGGGAAGCCAGAAGAAGCTCCTGGCTTTGGATTAGCTCAGCTCCAATGGTTGCAGTCATTGGGGAGTGAACCAGTAGATGAAAGATATTTCTGTCTTTCCCTCTCACTGTCTGTAACTCTGTCAAAGAAATTAATAAAATCTTAAAAAAAAAAAAAAGCACAAAAAACAGGGTTGTAGGCTTCCTGTAGGGCTACAGTCAATGGCATTAGGAAATGAGTGTCACAATGACCAGGGAGGGGCACTCCAGGCCAAGGAGGGACAAGATATGCAAAGCATCCTGTTATAAATAGATAACACCACTCCAAACACCACCTCTTCAAAAGACTTTTTACAACTATCATTATCACTGTTCATCCAATGTTAATTTGCATTTCTTATTCAACAATTGGGGAAACCTTACCACCCAGAGAAAAGTGAAAAATGATTCATAATTAAAATCGTGATCTAAATACCGTATCATCACATGTCACATGGCTCAAGAAATTGTTAACCATGAAGACCTGGAGCTGGGCCTGGACTATGGGAGACTGCAGTTGCATTTCTGATTTTCATTTCGATGATGCTATGCAGCTGGGGGTTTGCTGGGGCTCCCCCAGTAGAGTGGCCAAGCACCAAAATGAAATAACAGCACTATTTGGAAAAAAAGACAAGTGAGAGTCTACTACATATTTTGAAGTCCTGTCTTCAAACTTCAAACATCTGAAATGCTCGCTGGCAGAAAAACACAGCATCAATAATTCATTCAAAAAATAAAAAACAAGATAATTATATTTTTAAAAAATACATACTAACATGTTTGTGGATAAACTGGTCTAACCGAGATTTCCTTCAGAACACCAGGGGTGTTAGGCAGCAGGTGAGGGTGCAGAGGAAACAGCTAGGCAGCAGCTGTAACTGCTGAAGCTCAATGATGAGCTTATTGCCTTTTCTTGTATATTCACTTGAAAATCCTAACAAAACAAAGCTACAAATCTGTAACAAGCATGTGTTTCAATAAGAAGGTCTTATTGTTCAATCTCAGCAGGCATTCCTAAAAACCCAGCGTACCAGTACCAGCTGATCTCCTGGAGCTCCCCAAACATGCCACACACCATCCAATCACTGACATAAGTATTTGAGATTTTTCAATTTTTTCCTCACTCCATGTCCAGATATTTAAAATCCTAGATGATCTTCAGATCTTCAAAATCGATAGTGTTATTAAATCGTATTAGGCTTAAAGCTACCTCTTAATCCTGTGTTCCTACAAAGTGAACTGCAACCTAACTTTACAATGTGTAAACAAACCTAACAAACAGTTGTCTCAGCCAATCAAGAGCTGCCAGGCAAATACCTCACTGGCCAGTCCAAAATAATGCAAATAGACCAGCTGTAACCAATCAGGGTGTTTCTGTGTGCCACTTCCCCTTCTTTTCTATCATTAACTACTGCCTGCCTGAGTCACTGGGTGGAGCTCCCTGAACCTCTCCTGGTTTGGTTCCAAGTGCTGCACGATTCATGAATCATTCCTTGCTCAAATAAACTCTGCTAAATTTGATTTGTCTGAAGTTTCTAACAATGGTGCTGACTGCTTTTGAGAACTGGTGGGCAACTTAACCCAGCACCTACTGAAAAAGCATCATAAACATCTCATTAAGGACAGGACAAAAAGCAACAAACTGAGCAACTGAAACTCAGAAGGGCCCGGATCAAACAGCTGGTCAGGACCACAGGGAGACCCTCGCACTCTTCCTACAACTGCATTACCCTGCATCTTAGAGAAGAAACCCAACCCCCACACTACAGGCCTAAAATCAGAATCCTAACAGGGTTCCAAGACAGGCTGCAAAGAAATGGTCACTTTACTAAAACAAGTATTACTAAGTTTTGGTAAAAGAGTAAAGTGACCATTTCTTTGCAGCCTGTCTTGGAAGAGCACGCAAAACAATTGATTTTCTTAGAAAAGGAACTGCGGGGCCTGTGGCATAGTACATTACGCCTTTGCCTTTGAGGCTGCCATTCCATATGGAGGCTGATTTGTGTCCCAGCTCCACCACTTTCAATCCAGCTCCCTGCTAATGACCAGGGAAAAGCAGTGGAAGATGGCCCAAAGTGCTTGGGCCCCTGCCACCCACGTGGGAGACCTGGATGAAGCTCCTGGCTCCAGCCTAGCTGTTGCAGCCACCTGGGAAGGGAGCCAGCCAAAGTAAGATCTCTTTCTCTCTGTAACACTTTCATACAAATAATTAAAACAAAAACAAAAACAAAAACAAAAAACAACAACAACACGGAATTGCTAACATTCTAATCAGCAGAAGTACCTCACACCTTTTATTACTGTAATGTCTCTGCATGTAGATTCAGTGAATTCCAATACAAACACAGGAAAATCTCTTTTTTGCCTTAAGCTCCATCCTTGGTTAAGGACCTAATGAGCATTTCTAGCCTTGTATTCAGGCTCTAATGACTCAGAAGTCTCTATACTGCACATCACTGGGCAATGCACTGGAGAGGTACATTCTCTATTATCATTTCAATAGGACCAAGCACCACTCCCAACTCCAGAGATGGAATGATGACAAAACCTTTTCAACCAGCTGGCTCCCCTGCCCCCAGTTAAAGCTATAGATCAACTAGACAGATGCACAGCGCAGTTCCCACATGCACATCATTCACAGCCACTACTAAGAGCCCTATGTAAAACTAAAAAAGTCTCCACAGTGGACTTACGTAATTGCAACATTGCTCCCGTCTATGACAATGTGCTTCAAGTCCGTTCTCCCAGGTTCATTTTTTAATTCCAGCTTGTACGGTACTTTCAGGGTATCTCGAAACCTCTGAACCCCAGTAACTGAGGAGTCAATGTGCTCAGAAGGCCCTGCCAACCTTGCATCAGGCGCTGAAGGTAACAGATGAGGTCGTGGCATTGGGGGAGAACGGGGTGGGCAGTTGGGCTTGGACTGAGGGGAATTAGAACATCCCAAACGCTTCTCACAGGCAGCTTTCACATTATTTGGAAGCAAGGGTTCTGCTTGCTGCTGCAAACCATTTTCAGGAAAAACTGGAATTCTGGGCTGGTGACTTGGTGTGCCCCTTGAAACAAAACTGACTTCTTTGGGGCTTGAAGGTGCAACAGAAGGTGAGAGGCCATCAGTTTCAAGGTCTGTGTTGCCACTGTAGCTGTGGTTTGAACCCCAGATTTCATGTTTCTGCTCTACTGGCACTGTTCTGAAAGTATTCACTCGGCAGTTTGAGGTACAAGGTTTAGTTTCTACTTTGAATGGTAACTGAGAAAATTTTTCTCCCATATTTTGCTGTGATTGAGTCTGTGTTTTCTTTGGAGTGGAATCTGTTGTAAGTTCATTCATGCTGCTACAAACACTCTTATTTTTGGTTTTGTTGGTCTCTGAATACACAGTGCCAGGTGAAAATTCTCTATCTTCCTGGGACCTTTTATTTTCTTTTTCAATTTCTTCTAAGAGCAATAATGGCTCAGTAGATGGCCCATATTCCCTAATGACCTTCTCAACAATTTCTTGGGAATAGCCCATGGTTTTAAAGAAGTTTACAAGGATGTTGTATTCCATTTCCTCAGTAGTGTCTTTTACATCTGGACTCAGAACTTCAGAATCGGACAAGTCAATGACAACACTCCCGGCTGCTGACTGACCATCATGTGTAAGCTCCCCCTCCTGAACATTTTCCAAAGAAAACTGCTTTTTGGTGTGCCTTTCCTCGGAATCAGAAGACCTCCTTTTGTGACAAACCCTGTCTTTGGAAAGTGCCTCTTCATCCGGGGTCAGACCATTTACTGGAACAAAAAGCACATCTGGTGAACTAGAAAGCACTGTGTCCATCTGTTTTGTGAGTTCAGAAACAGGAGTACCAGCTTTATTTCTTGCCTCTTCCTGCAAAATGACTTCCTCTCTGGAAATACTCAGACCTGTGGCAGCATTCTGTGTGAATGGAGTATGTTGGGAATCTTGAATTTCAATAACATCATCTCCTGTTTCAAATAGATTCTCCCCACTTTGTGTGAGTGTCAAAAGTTCTTTTTTCAAAGAAGTGGGCAAAATCAACAAATCCATCGTGTAACTGTCCGCATGAGCTTCAACAAACTGTCTGAATTCTCTTTTCACCTCTGATTCTTTCTGACTGTTGGGCAGGTTCTCCTTACTCTCAAAGAGCTTCACGAACTGCTGAATGTGACTTCTCGCCATGACCACAGCCTCAGCACTCCCTCTGATGCCAAGCAGGCCAATGTCCAGAATGCAGAGGTCAGCACACGTGTCTTGAATCAAGCTCTTTAAAAAGAGGCTCTGTGCCCCAACAAAAATGCAGTGCATGGCTTTGGGGTAACATTCTCTTTCTTCTAATTCAGGTTCACAGATTCCTTTAATATACTCCTACAAAAAAGAAGAAATTAGACCACTTTATAAAGGTTCCTGATTGCACATATTAAATCACATATTCACAGGGCAGGCACTGTGGTGCAGTGGGTTAAGCTGCTGCTTGGAATGCCGGGTTCCAGCATCAGAGTGCCTGGGATCAAGCCCCACCTCCATTTACTCTCCAACTTCCTGCTAATGCGCCTGGGAAGGCAGCAGATGATGGCCCAAGTACCTGGGTTCCTGCCACACACAGGGGAGACCCACATGGAGTTCCAGGCTCCTGGCTTTGGCCTAGCCCAGGTCTGCTGTTGTTGCAGGCATTTGGAGAGTAAACCAACAGAAAAGATTTCTGTCTCTCCCTCCCTATCACTCCACCTTTTAAGTAAAATGTAAGTGTCAAGTTGAATCTACAAAAACCACAAGATACTCGTAATTTCAGAAAAATGTCATGTTTTAAATTAAAGATTTGAAATAACATATAAATAGCTTAATCATCTCCAGACAGTTTGAGAAGTTTACATCCAAAACTAAAGGTCTAGTGCTTGTACATTTTACATCCCTAGCAATGTGCTCTTAGGGACTTGCCTAGCTGCACACCAGACAGTCCAAAGGCTAGATTTACTTACATCTATAAAGAACATTTTCGCTTGCTTGGTAGCGAGAAATTTATTACCACCATGGCATAATCAACAAGAGAAAAGTCAAATGAAGAAAGTCAAAGGAAGAAACTTTGCTTTGCTTTTACTACTATTACACTTTGTTTCCAGATACAACAAAAACTATTACATTTGGGTTACAGATTTCTTGAAGGCCTTTAGAAAGAACAAGATTAACAACAAAAATCATTTTTCACCAGCTAGTTGGATCAATATAGGCCCTATGTAATTTTTTCAAAAAACAAATTTGCAGAATGCTTCATGAATTGGCAAATCATCCCTGCACTGGCACCATACTGTTCTGACTTTGGTGTATGTGCAGTTGAAGTGAGCTCCTATCTTACATAATTCTGCAAGAAAGATAAGACTGCTTAAATTAAATGTACATCTTCATATAAAGAACCAGAAAATGTTGGACAGTGCTTTGTTCTCAGATACTGGCACTGAAAGCGGCCTAAATGAGGCAAGAAAGGGAATTGGGCCAATCAAGCAAGCATGCGCATGCACACACACACACACACACACACACATTTTGCTGGTACAGCAACGTTTGATTCTGGAGTTAGTGTCCTGACCTCATATTCCAACAACAGGACTGCTACAACCTTGCTCATGTTACCTAACCCTCTTCGCCCAGTTTCCTCAACTGTCTAAGAGAAAAGGGTAGTAAAATTACAGAGGGTTTCAAGGAATTCACAGAGATGAAGGCCTGACAATAGTGCCTTGCACAGACTAAGTGCTTACGAAATACTTACACTACCATTGAAAACTTTCTGGAGAGATATGTGTAAGAAATGAGCCCAGCAATTCCTGATCTATACTTTAAACTGGAGTGGCATTCCCAAAGTGACGCTATTTCAAAGTTCAACCTGTGCAGCACCAATCAAAACACTTGCACCTACTACACACTTGTTGTGTTTACAGCTACATATCTCCAGTTAGAATTTATTTTACTTTTTTTAAAATGATGTATTCATGTACTTGAAAGGCAGAGTTACAGAGAGAGGAGAGACAGAGAAAGAGATCTTCCATTTGCTGGTTCATTTCCCAAATGGCCACAATGACCAAGACTGGGCCAGGCTGAAGCTAGGATTCAGGAGCATCCTTCCATGTCTTCCATGTGGGTGTGGGGGCCCAAGGACTTGGGCCATCTTCTGCTGCCTTCCCAAGCACATTAGCAGCTGGATTGGAAGTGGAGCAGACGGGACTCAAAGTGGCATCCATATATGATGCCGGTTCTGCAGGTTGTGTGGCTTCAACCTGCTGTGTCACAGCGCTGTCCCTCCAGTTAGGATTTATACTCAAATCTGTACATATTCCTTGTGCATCTATAATTTAGAACGACATCATCCCAATGGGTAGATGAAACCAGAAACAGAAGAAAAACATCATAGAGGAAGGCTTCACATAAGCAGCCTGAAGTTCAGTCACGACTTCTTTACTCCCACTTTGCTTGTGGCCCTAGTGGTGCCGCGCAGAGGCAAGTGGTGCTGGATGAGGCATCCTTCTCTTTTTCACAGGCAGCTTGCTATTTTTATAACCTGGTAATTAAATTCAGTCACGTATAGTAGCTGAGCACCCTTTTTCCCCAAATGCAGAAGCAAAGTGCTACATTTTGATGTTAGCTCCCCTGAAGATCTCAAGAAGAGCAACACTTGGCTATCATTTGCTTAAATTTATGCTGTATTTGGGTTGTGGCTTCGGGTTTTTTAAAAAGGCATTTTAGGGGATGGTGCTGTGGTACAGTGGGTAAAGCCACCATCTCCAACACCAGCATTCCAAATGGGCTGGCTGCTCCACTTTCGATCCAGCTCCCTGCTAATGGCCTGGGAAAAGCAGCCAAAGATGACCCAAGTACTTGGGCCCCGGCCACCCATGTGGGAAACCCAGAATAATCGTCTGGCTCCTGGCTTTGACCTGGCCTAGCCTAGCCCCGACTATTATGGCTATTTGGGGAGTGAACCAGAGGATGGAAGAGCTTTCTCTGTCCCTCCCTCTTTCTCTGTAGCTCTTTCAAATAAATATATTAAAAAAAAAAAAAAAAAGGATTTTGACCTAAGTCCATAAGAACTTGCAAAGGTAACACAAAGATCCTGTGTACTCTTCATTCAGTTTCATCTTATCGTTGCACCTTACATAATTACAGTAAAACATGAAAGCCAGGCAAAGATGCCGCTACAGTATATGTAGAGCATTCTATGCTATTTTATCATGTGTAGCTTTGCGAAACTGCCACCCTCATCAAGATTCAGAACTATTCTAATACCACAAGATTTCTTTCATGTTAACCCTATATAGTAACAGCCACCCACCTTCTAACTTCTATGCCTAACCCATGGCAACCACTAGTCTGTTTTTGTCTCTATAATCTTGTGACATCAAGAATGTTACACAAATGGAAGTATAAAATTTTGGCTTCTGAGGCCAGTTGGCTTTTCCCATCCAACACAATGCATACAAGCCATTCACACTGTTGCCAATATCAGTAGTCTATTCTGTGTTACTACATGGTAGTCTTCTGTGGCATGGAAAAGCTAATTTCTTTTTAAAACCATCTTCCGGCCAGCGCCGCGGCTCAATAGGCTAATCCTCTGCCTAGCGGTGCCGGCACACGGGGTTCTAGTCCCAGTCGGGGTGCTGGATTCTGTCCCGGTTGCTCCTCTTCCAGGCCAGCTCTCTGCTGTGGCCCATGAGTGCAGTGGAGGATGGCCCAAGTGCTTGGGCCCTGCACCCCATGGGAGACCAGGAGAAGCACCTGGCTCCTGCCTTCGGATCAGCTCGGTGCGCTGGCCGCAGCGTGCCAGCCGCGGCAGCCATTGGAGGGTGAACCAACGGCAAAGGAAGACCTGTCTCTCTCACTGTCCACTCTGCCTGTCAAAAACAAAAACAAAAACAAAAACAAAAAAAACCCAACAAACCATCTTCCTACTGAAGGGCTTTCAGGTCGTTCCTGTTTGGTGCTATTACAAATAATGTTGTCATGAGTGATTAGTGGTTGTTATTTGGACCAAATTCTCATTCTTCAGTGATTAATGCCCAAGAGTACAACTGCTAGGTCATATAGTTAAGCGCATGTTTAGTTTCTCAAGGAACCGCCAGACTATTTTCCAGAATGGGTATTCCATTTTATACTCTCCCAGCAATGGATGAGAGCATGATCCAGTTTCTCCACAAGCTCGCCAACTTCTGATATAGTCACTGAATTTAGTTTCAGCTGTTCTAACAGGCGTACTATCTCAGCACAGTCTTAGCTGACATTTCTTTCCCTAGTGGCTAGTGATGGTGAACACCTTTCCATGTGCTGTTTTCTATCTATATATCCTCTTCAATGAAATGTCTGTGTTTTGCTTCTGAACATGTTCTAATTTTTTGACTGGACTGTTTTTTCCTATTGAGAGTTCTTTTTATATTCCAGATATGAGTCTTTCTCAGATGTGTGGTTTGTAGACATTTTCTCCCTATCTGTCTCCTCATCCTCTTTAACAGGGTATTTCCTGACAGCAAACATATTCTTACTCAAGTACTCCATTTTTCGAGTGACTATAAATGGTACTGTTTTTGAATTTTGGTCTCCATGCATTTGTTGCAAGCATATAGTAATACAGTTAATTTCTGTATGTTCATCACGTATCCCAAGACCTTCATAAACTCACTTGTTTCTAGTGTAAGGAAGTATGTGTGTAATGCAGCTTCCTGTAAAATTTCTATGCACATTTTATATCCTCCATAATTATTTTCTCTTTTGATGCATATACTTTTTACTTTCATTTCTTTCCTACTGCAGTGGCCAGAAATTCCAGCACCATGTTGAAGTGGTGAGAGCTAACATGCTTGCCTTGTGCACAACTTCGAGAAGCATGCAGTCTCTTGCAATTAAGTTAGACAGAGTCCTCGTGCAGATGCCTTCAACCATGCTGATGGAGTTACCCTGTGTTCCTAGTTTCTGGGGAGCATGAACACCAAAGAGTGTTGAGATCTGTCCAGTGCTTTACTTCATCAATTGATACAATCATGCCATTCTCCACCCTCCCCCCACCCCTGTCTGTCACTTTGTTGAGTTACACACTGATGATTTCTGAATACTGAATGAGTCTTGCTTCCCTGGATTAAGTCCTCCTTGGTCATAGGTATAATTGTTTTTCTATATGGCTATATTTTCTGTATTTGCAAAGATTTTGTTAAGGATTTTTAGATCATTGGCATCTGTATTAAATGGGGACCTGTAATTCACCTTTTTGGTACTGTCTCTGCCTGGTGTTTGCCATCAGGGTGATACTGGCTACAGACGAGTTAGGAAATGTTCCCTCATCTTGTATTTCCTGGAAGTGACTCTAGAATTGGTGTTCATTCTTCTTCAAA